ACTACCGGAAAGTCCAGGTGATACTCAGAATTATTTACTCTACCCATGTAAGAGACTAATTCCACTAAACCATGCCAAAGGTCCACCTCTCCCAGAACACTGACTCTTACAGGGGCCAGGAGCAGAAGCCTAGGAGACAGCAAAAAAAAAAACAATAAAAAAGCAAACATGTACCAGCAGTGCCCCAGAATCCACCCCTGACCTTCAACAACTCTTAGTTCAAACACTTCCCAAGCCACAGGTAGTGTCTTTCATCTCATCGATCATATATGCTCATTAAAATTCCCACTGCACCCCCAATTTCCATAAAGAACAAGATAAATTAGTGCTGATTTAGAATTCTGATTAAGAATGCAAGATCACAATATATTTTATTACGTTCAGTTTGAAGGTTGATGTCATGAAACACGTTTAAAACCCAAACCTTTTATCAGTTGCCAAAACATTCCCTTCAGTTGTAGCACATCCAAGAAACTTCAGTTACAGAAAGGCACCTCTCACACTGACACCTGCAAATGGCTAAAAGGATATAAAAGTTTTAACTACACTGAAAACAGGACTGTGCCACATTAAAATACTGCATTTAGTCAGCACCACTGATGGCCTCTAGAACACTTTCACTAAAGTGTCTCTAGGAGTTTCACAGACTCTCTTGTGATTATTTACCACAGTTTAGAAATATGAAACTCCTGTTAGGTAGGGCAGTGGGGTAGTGATTCAAGAACTAAATAAAATAAAAGATTTGAAGCAGGATGTTATACAGTTGTACAGCTTTGCAAGCAGCTCTGTAAAAACACTGAAGTGTTATTGGAATATTTAATGTAAAAAAAGTTAAGATTTAAAGTCTTGTTCAAGAGATAATATTAGACTTCCTACAACAGACTAGTGATCTAGCGTGATCAGGCCTACAGAGCCTTCTAAAATTCAGTATATTTAAAAATCACTGTGTAAAATCAATTCCAGTACCTGTTCTTAAAGTCCTGGAAAGCATCAGTTGGTGGTGACTTATTTCTAGGCCAGTTCTCTGACTCCTCAGTGAGAGCTGCCCAAAGCGTAACATTTAGAAATTCAGATCAGTCACCCACATACTTGGGTTGCACTTTTCTCACTGCATGACAAGTATCTCTAAAAGCAAGGCACTGTTTCCTACAGGCTGGAACAGAACTAGGATGACCTCACTTTCCAGTTCTGTCCCTCCTTCCCTGATTTCATGTCTGGCATCAGACAAGTCCCATCACCTCATTTTCCCCCATCAGTGAAGTGGGGAGAACACAACTTCTCCAAAGGAGCTGTAATAAGATATATTCCTAAATCCCTCCAATTAAAGACTGAAAGGAACACCCTGAATCACCAGTCACAAACCCCGCCTGCAACAGGTACCACAACAGAAACTTCTATTAGTGCACAAAGCAGGACCTCAGGTTTCTGTGCCCAGAAGATTTTGGGAAACACTCTCATATCTAGAAGGGACATATTTACAGGTGCTTTGTCTTTCTTTTTTTAAATTTTGACTTAAACAGTGCTTCTTTCTCCTTTCTCCTCTCCTGTATTTATAGATAGTAATCAGCCTCACTGGACTGCACAAGCTAAACCCATTCAGTGAAGCTCTCCAGCTCCTTTTTGTTCAGCTCCCCACACCTAATCCAGGTTACATTGAACCTCCCTGGAACAGAGGAGCTCAGGCCCCACACACTGCTCTTTAGGAGGCATCGGCTCAGCTTTGTCCAGCATAAAGATGATATTCACCAAGAAATGAATAAATAATTAAATAAATATCCAGGTAAAGATGATATTCATCAAGAGCCCTGAGCTGAAATCCTATTGAACAACTGGCATTTCTCTTCCTAATTTCGGACATTTTCCTGTGGGGCCAACAGAACTATCCAAGGGTGTCTTTACCTATGGATGATGTTTTGGGAAATGAAGTTTTTGATACGTAGTGGGAGCCTGAAGTCATTGGCTCTTTGAAATATGCAGAAGATGGAGTAATATCAGACAATAGTCAAATGTCATCACAACTGGATCTTCCCTCCCTTCCCCAGCTGATGACAACAAGCTTTTCATCAGCACCTGGTCTGTGGGTCCCTGGGGCACTCCCACACCAAAAGTTAACTTCCAGCCAAAACTAGGAGGTCTGCAGACTTCAGCAGGAATCACAAGCTGGATATTAAGGGCAATAATATGCATAAAGGCTATTTCATGACCTCATTGCCATCCATCCATATGGACTTAATGATATGGAAAAATCACATAGGATAAATAAAACCTCATAACCAAGTTACAGTTTGTTTACTACTCTGTTTCTGAAAGTTATTGTCTTTGCTTTGCTGAGCAGATGACTCAGTCTTCACTAAAAATGCCTGTGTTGAGATATTTGGATACACCAAGCAGAGTCCCATTGACCATGCCAGAAACAGCAAACAAGGGGTTTATAACTCATCAAAATGGAATTTCAGAAGCAAAAGCATTTACTAGGACCTACTAATTCCTCTGTGCTAAAAATCAAAAGCTTTCTGAAAACAATAAATATGGCTGAGAGCTAATTTTTTCAAAGTAAGAATCTTGAACAAGATGAGAATAAATTTTGCCAACCACTTTCACATACATTCTCTCTGTCTTTCTCTCTCTGAGTAAAATAAAACAAATACACTTTTCATGGTCACTCTTACCATGCACAGGGGTAGATGGGTTAGCAAAAGTCAGTGGAAAAAGCAAGATCCTGCTAAATACCATGGGAAGCTTCTCACTTTATGTTAAGTACTGTTGGATAATGCAGAACAGCTCTGTCAGGGAGAGCAGCTCACTGACAAGGGCAGAAGAATAAAAACTCTCATGCAAGAAACTAACACAGAGTTTGAATCTCCCAACTTGGGAGTTTTATAAGAGAACTGTACATGAAAAGCTGAAGCAGAAAATGACCCTGGAATTTGAGAATTATCCCTTCCCTATACTCCAAAAGTATCCAAGAAAGCCAGTGTCAGCTGAAGAACAGAAGGCATCTGAAACAATGGGAAACAATGGCTTTATAAAGATAACTGGTTTTCTTTACTAGTGTCTGACTTGTCAGGACAGAAATTTTTATCAGCAGTTGTTCCAGAGAGGTTCAGAAAACAAACACAAGTTTTCCTGGCTGACGTATTCCACCTCAGTAACTGGAACAGGCTGATTTCAAAAGCATCTGTGTGATCAAAAACTGACAGAGTTCCAGCAGTGATACATACTAACCACAAACTCTTTGGGAAGCAGAACAGTTCCCATTCATAGGGAAGTTCAGATTATGTTCTCCATGTCCAGAGCTTACTTGCATTTTATTGGTAACATCCACTAACTGGTTTTATTAGTTTAAGGGGATTTAAAAATACCTCATGAGGTGATAAAAGCTGCCTTCTGTCACACAGGTGGGGATACCTATTACAGGAGGAAAGCTGAGGAGGGGTGGGAGAAAGGGAAAATGAGTTGAAAGGGATTCAGCTCAGGTGGCTGCAAGGGTAACTCAGGATTTCCATTGAGGAGTACTGCTTTCTTCTGATGGAGACACCCCTCGTTTTGGGAGATGCTCCTGCCCATCCCCAAGAGGTGCTGGAGCCAAGCAGGAACTTTAAGGAACATCACTAGCACAGAAAAAGCAGCACAGAGGACAAAGCAAACAAGTGCGTAATGTTTTTTCCAGGTAACTCCTAAGATGGGTCCATGGCATTATGACAACTTTGCTTGTGTTCCACCTCTCCTTTAGTGAGGCCACCAGCTATCTGGGGTCAGGGCAGAGGGAAATCCCATCAACAGAGCAAATGCAGTGATGCAGCAGAGCAACCCCCCGCTGGCACCAGCTCCATGCAAACCTGATTCAGACTTACAGGAGGACACAGTACCACATCCAACACAAGTTCCCTTGGGACAGGAGAGCCTTCCCCACCCATTGCTTTCACTGCAGAGTTAGATCACACTGCACCTATTTACAGAAAGAAACGTGCATTTTATGCAATCCAAAGGCAGAGCCAAAGCAACACAAGATGGGCCTCTGCAATACAGCACCTTCAGAACTTCCCTCCCTGCCACGAACATCAATGTAACAACCAACAGCTTGTTATGGATGTGCTTGGTTCTATTAAATCTTCTGTTTACAGGAGTAAGAACGTTAAAGATTACTACGAGTAAACATCACATATGAGAAAACACAGTTTGCTCATCCTCTGTTCAATGCTGAAATGAGCAGCAAACATTCTGGCTCATGCTGTGTTCCTGGATAAAAACACTCAATCTGAACCCAACTCACAACGAAGTTTGGAGCAGATAAAGCCCAGCCCAGCCCCGAGCCTGCTCTGCAGTGCAGTGAGGGGGTTCCGCTAGGGCACAGCGACATGGTCTGAACGGGCTGCCCGTCCTCGCATCGCCTGGACTTTGCTTTTTATCGAACAAATTGCTTGGGTAAAGCGGAGCCCCAGGGAGGGCTGATCCACCTCCGCACCCACAGCCAATTCCCGCTGCTCATTCACGGCCCGGGGCTGCCTGGGGCTACGGGAGCACCGAGTCCCACGTTTCCACGCGTTAAGAGCACAATTCCGCTCACGGAGCGGGTGCCGGGGGCGCAGGGCAGCGCGGCCCTGCGCTGAGGGGCGGTCGGGACCGCCAGGGCCGGGCACGGAGCTGCCGCTGCCCTCACGCTCCCGGCGCTCCCGCCCCGCCACGCCGGCCCGCCACGCCGCCCGCGCTCCTTCCTTACACGGTGATGTGCCCGGCGCCCCGCACCGCCACGGGGTCGGGCGCGTCACGGGGCCGCGGCAGCTCCTGGCTGCGCACCACGGGCTCGGGCTCGTCCTGCTCCTCGTCCTCCTCCTCCAGCTCGTAGATCGTATCGAAGTCCGCCATGTTGGGCAGCAGGACGCTCATCGCCGGCCCCCCGCCCTCCCGCCGCGCCTGCGCACCGCGCGCCGGGGGCGGGGCCGCGTCCGGGACACGGCGGCGGGAGGAGGGAGCGCGGCGCGCAGGCGGGTCGAGGGAGAAGTGGGCGGGGACGACACCGGGGAGTGTTTGAGCGCGGTGTCTGTGTCAGTGTCCTCGACACAGTCTGCTGGGAGGCAGTGCCTCCGCGGAGATGGCGGGGGCTGGCGAGTTGCGCCGGTCTCGGTGACCGGAGGGCGGCTGCCTCCCGCGCCCCTCGGGTGCGCGCGCGCGCGCCTGTTCCTCCCCTCAGGAGCTCCGGGGGGGGTCACGAGTCGGCGCGAGGCTCTGCTGAGGGAGGTTGTGTTTGCCGGTTGCAGCCAAGCCGGAATAACCTCACTGATTTTTGTTTTCAAACATTCCGTCTAAGCCTTCGGCGTACAAGGAACTCGAATGTCTGTACTATCGTCAGGATTTATAACTCCCCCCCCACTTCCCGCCGCGCTCCCCTCAGGTGCGCGCACGCCCCTTCCCGCCCCTCAGGAGCGCCGCAGCCGGCGCGAGGCGCTGCTGAGAGAGGTCGCGTTTGCCGATTGTAGTGAAGCTGGAATAACCGTGTTGAGTTGTGCTTTCAAAGAATCCGTTTTATCCTTCGGTGTACAAGGAACTCGAATATATACGCTACCGTTAGGCTTTATAACTTCCCCCCCCTTCCCCTCCCTCAGGAGCGCCCCGGCACGAGGCCCTTCTGAGGGAAGTTGTATTTGCTGGTTGTAGTGAAGCCGGAATAACCTTGTGGAATTTTAAACTACTTTTCAGAAGTTCCCTCTAAGCCTTCAGTGTACAAGGAACCTGAGTATCTATACTATCGCTAGTGTTAAAGCTTCTCGCACTTCCCGCCGCCCCCCTCAGGTGCGTGCGCCATTTCCCCCCGCAGGCCCTCAGGCGCTTTCAGCCGCAAAGGAAAACTGAAGAGGGTCGTTGAAAGCCTCAGTTCCCAAGGTATTATTCTCCAGCTTCACCCAAGTGAGAAGGAGAGGTTTTTGCCAGCCGTCGGTTGCCGGCTGGGCTGAGGGCAGCGCTGCCACCTGAGGGGGCTCTGTTGGCTGCTGTGGACACCCCCATGTTCAGCTTGGGCAGAGCTGTTTAAAGGTCTTCTGCAGACCTGTTCTGCCCAAGGAAGGCATGAAAAGCCCCAAGGAATCCTTCCGTGTCCGAAGCATTGCTTGCGGGTGGCACAGAGAGAGGGAAAGGACCAGGTCGTGCCCTCTCGCCCGGCTCCCTCAGACTCAGCACTGAATTCCCCTCCGCTGAGCAGTGACCTCCCTTCAAGAGGTACTGGGTTCATTTCAGGGCAAATCAGGCTAAGATCAACACCTTCACTGTGTCTGCTCAGAGAGAGGGAGCAGGAGTTGAGGTTGGAGCGAATTCGCAGCCCTTCGGGTTGTGTGGAGGTGGAATCGTGGCTCATTCCCCTTCCCCCTCGGGGGCGCGAGGGGTTGTCGAGGGAAGGCGGGGGGAGGTGCTGATCCTCCTCTTTTTAAACCCCTTTTCCAGGTGTATTTCTGTGGCGATTTGAACAAACCCAGCCCTGTAGTGCTTCCGCTTCTTCCCCGTTCATTTTTCCCAACTCGCGGCCGAGGGAAAGGTGAGGGAGGGTTTGGAGTTTTCCCGAAGGTTTGAGGTGGTTGCCTGGAGTTTGGTGATGGGTTTGGAAAGAGAGTTACATGCAGGGTGGTAGAGTGGTGAGAGAGAAGAAAATCCACATAGGAATAGCAAAATTGGTGAAAAAAACCTCTGAGAATAGCCCCGCCCCAGCACACAGGTGTAAATTATTATTGAGGTAATAAGCACTTAATTACTCTCCTACTGCAAATGGAAAGTAGCCAAAAAAATTATTGGCGCTTGTAATTGCAGTAAAGGAATGAAAAATGAGATTCCAAAGGGGGGATTTTGGTCTGGTGGGTTTTATTTTATTTTTTTAATATTAGTGTAGCTACCATAAAGCATTGGGTCTGGTATGTATCCAAATCAGAATTCCTGACCCACAGCTACTGTAAGGAAGGAGCTCACCTCCTCCTACACTAGAAAAAATGTCTCCATCTCTGTCTGCTGTTTTCAGGAAAATACTTCTCTCATAAATCAACTTTACTGTTTTACAGGTGTTTCTAGACCGCAGCAAAATGCAGATGACTTGACTGTGAAAATTTTTGCTGCTTCCCAAAGCAAAATTTTATGAGCTCCAGTTTTATCAGTGCTCCATGCTCTTCCTTCAGCACATTATCTATCTTATGTGGAGCTGCAGGTAAATCATACTCTAATGACTTGAGGAAAAAAAAAGAGACAAGTTGTTATAAAATGAAATTACGTGTTCTATGTTCTCCCATTTTTGTCAAAACACTTTTCTCTTGTTTAGTGATGAATACTGTCAATATACTGCAGGAAAAGTAAGTCATTGATCAAATATTTAGAAACCTGTCAAAAAAGAGAAAATTATTCTATACCTGAGGATCTGATATTTTTCCAAACATCTTCATCTTTATGTAGATTATTGCTGTTCATAACCCATGGAAATAAAATCCTGAGACCACTGAAATAAAGTTATATATGGGGTTGTTAATAAGGTACTGGCCTTTATTTTACTCTCACTGAAATTCCAGGTCTCTGCTTTAACTGATGTAAAAGCCGAAAAGGTAAATCTCATAACTGAGGACACAGGAAGAAATGATAATTCCGATGCTGTGCATTATAGGCTTGAATATTCAGTTGAGATCATCTTAATTCTTGGCAGCTTTGGTGAAATACTCATGAGAAAGGTAGTTATATTTAAAATATAATCACAACGTATGTAACCTGATGTCCCTTTGGCCAGTGTTTCCTATGAGAAAGGGCTAAATGCAAGCCTTTGGGTTCAAAGCTACGTGCTTTGTGAGCAGAAAAGCCAGACAGCTCTGGGTCTACTTCATGGAAAAGTTAAAACTCTTGTTCCTGGTTTATTGTGGAATCATTTCCCATCACTGTCCCTGCAGAATGCTAAAAAAAAATATGAAAATTAATTGCTTTCTCTTCTTCATGGTGCTACAACATTTCATTTTTGCTCAAAGCTTTGTCTGGCTGCTGATTTTTATTAACCTTGCTGGTGTCTTTCCATTTCTTAGACTCTTCTGACCTGGTGAGCAACGAGTTTTTACACGTGTTTCTATACTCAAAGGAATAGTTTGAGTGGAGGGCCACAGGTGGAGTTTTGAACTCTTACCCAGCTAGATGTGAAATGCATCCTCTTAAATAATTAGAGTAAGGTGTTTATAAGATATTTGGTATCTTTTTCTGTGTTTAGCTAACTACTGGTGTCAGTAATTCTTATTTATCATCGTTATTTCACCAGGACCGTGGCTTTGCAGTGCTCCCATTAATGGAATTGTGAGTGCATCAGTGGCAGGGATTTCTTGGCATGGAAAAAAATAGAAAAGATTTCTTGACCACTTGTAGCAGCATCTCTGTAACCACATGAGTTAAGAGACCCTGCCCCATCTGCTAAAGGATGTTTATGTTCGTGTGTTTTCATAAAACTAAAATGACACTGGCAGTGATTTCGTTGATATAAAGTGTTTGGATTTCAGAATAGGTTCCGATTAAAATGCCTCTCTGCTGAAATGAAGCTGTTTTGAGGGGAAGGATAACTTAGTGACCTTCTAAATGCTAGAAACCCAGAGATAATGATAAAGATAGCCCTCATACTCAGGAGAACTTTCTAATGAAGTCCAGCAGTGCTGTTCAACATGACTCTAAATGCTTTGGAATAGCAGGTTGCCACTGAGGTGTCTCACTGACTTTTGGCAAAACTGGGTCTGTACTGCACAGAGCTCAGGAGGGTAAGGGACTTAAACCTGTCTCAGTGCTGTCTGACTGTGTGCTCATTGCTCTGCATAACCTTTGGATGCCAAAGGGAGAGAGGAAAATCCTGGAACAGACAGCTGCAAGTGGCTGAGGAGCAGTCCACGGCCTTCTTTTGGGAATAAATGAGAGCCGAAGAGGCAACTTGGGAGGGCTTAGGCTGGAATTTCCCATGGTCATGACACCATGCCGTCCTGGAACGATCAGCTTTCGCTGGGATAGGCACTGACTTGGGATGTGGATCAAGCCCGTTAAGAAGATTTTTCTAGAGCCTTTAGGATCTCCCTTGGGTGCTATAAAACCAAGCTCTCTTCCCATTCCTACCTATTATGTGTTCAATTTTGTTCAAATAAAAACCTCTTGGAAATTTTAGAAGGGCAAAAGAAATGAGAGAGAAGCAGTGTGTGTGCCAGAAAGGGAAATAAACCCCAGGGCCTTGGGCAAGGATTTACCACCTTAGCATTAGATATGACAGTGGTGAGATTCAGGTGTCAGGGAGAGGTGTGGCAAACAGGGAGCCACCCAGCAGCAGGAAACCTCTTCAGGTTTCACTGAAGAGCCTCCATTTTAATGCAACCTGTGTTCTGATTTAATAAACAAGCTCGTGTTCCAGCCATTTCAATGGATGTTGTGCCAGGAGGGCACATGTGATGGATCAAAGCTTGAACTCCATTAGGTGCTGAACAGGTGGGACAGCAATTTGCTGAGTTGAAGGGTGGAAAGAGCAAGTGTAGAGTTTTGACACAATATATGTGTGTGACCCCTTTCTCGTGAGTGAGGGATTAGCAAACCACAAAAGGAATCTCTTTAATTGGAAAAGGTACTTTGCTATACCAGCTACATATTTAACATCTTGTGCTTTTAAAGTAATAGGTTGAAGTCAAAGTTCAGCTGAAGTTTCAGGGGACTTTTTTTTTTTATATGTTTGTGTGTTCTCTCCTGTAGGAATGATGACTGTGGGTAAAAATAGACCATTTTAGAAAAACACCTTTTGTAACCCATGCCTGTGTTTGAAGTATGTCTGCTGAATATTGGGTTTGAGAGGTAAATACTACAGGGAATTTTTTTCAGCCTGATTTATCGAACTTTCTGTCTTCACAGGAGGAAATATTTACAAGTCTCATTTCAGTACTGTTTTAGGATGCTGCTTATTTGATGAAACTATTATGCCATAAAAACTGGGTGATTTGTGGAGAGATGATGGGCTCTGGCAGTGTTTATCCACCCAAATCACTTCCTTTCTTGGAATCAAGTGTTCTTATGTAGAGCATGAAACACAAAAAGAGAGCAGGAAAGAGAGGAGATAAAGCACAGTATTAAATAGAAGCTCTATTGAGAGAAAATAAAGTGAATGCTAATGGGGGCCTGAGAGATTCCAAGTCTTCCAATGTATTTTTTCCTTGTTTGTTCCATATAAATCCCCACCAGTCATTCTTCAGAAGGAAGGATATACAACAAGTGATGTCATATTGGCTGCCAGAATTCCCTCATTTCCCACACTTGTGTGTTTCAACAGAGGAGGAGGTTGTTGGATGAGAGGATTATACTCTTGGAGTTTGGAGAATGTATTTTAAGTCTGGTGGACAAACCATCATGTTTCTTGATCAACTGATACAAACTCTTTTCCCAAGCTGAGTTGCATCTCACGGCAAATCCACGTCATTTTGCTAAGCAATAGAAATGTGTAACTCATTAGGCAAATTTAGATACGTTCAATTGCTGAAGGAAGGCAAGTCAAGAGTGATGGGAGAGGTTTAATGAAATTGAGTTTGTGACACAAATATTCTGTAGTGTCTAGGAGGTTTTTGTGCAGGGGTGTGCAGCTCTGTGCTGCTTGTACTGAAAATGCCTGATGGAGATCCATTTTCAAAAGTAATCTAAGTTTCAAGAGGTTGTCAGGTTTCTGATCCAGGTTTTTGCTTGACTTGTATGACTACTACAAGCAGCCAGTTAGGTGTTTAAGTTATGCTCTCTTCTCTGCAAATTGATATTTTAAATATCTTATAATGAGGTCCTTTCCAATTTCTGGTCTAAACTATCTGTCCTTACTGTAACTATGGACAAATCTGTATTTTTCTTTTTTTTCTCCCACAGATCAATATTTAGAAGTTAGTTAATAAAGCCAGATCACTGTGGTGCTACACTGAGTGTCAGCATGAGCAGTTTGTGGCAAATTGTTCCTTCTTGATTAAGTATTTATAGGCAGTGGGACTGAGAAGGGCGATTGTTGCCAAAGCTTTGGCACCCCTACAGAATTCTCCTAAGAATGAAGATGATTCAGATAAAGGCCAGGAGGGATTTGCTGGCTGCTGGTATCAGACAGTTGTGTGACGCAGAGTTCTCGTTTGATATCAGCTGGTGTTCCAGTGGCTTGCTGCTCTGCAAACTCCAAACACCAACCAAACAGCTGAATTTAAACAGTGGGATGGTTTTCTATTTACATAAAGGGAAAAACACAGGAAACTCAGAGAGCTTGGGGAAGGTCCCCACTGGGTGAGAAGGGTGGCATTTGATTTATTATTATTTTAATTGCCTAACAGTGCTAAGGGAGAGTCTAAAGTCCCTGGAGAAGCCTTCAAAGGGGGAAAGATAAATATTGAAAAATGTTATTTATAGCCCTTAGTGTTTCACCCATGTAAATACAAAAATGAAATACAAGGTCTGATCACATCTTCTGAAGTTTCTCCTTCGCATAAGCAATGCTGAAGAGGCAAACACAGCTGCCCAAAAATAATGGCAATGTGAGGCCTTTGGCTGTGTGTCCTCCACCCAACTGCCTCTCCCGGCCCTCGTGTTCCCGGGCTAGTGTTGGCAGAACGTGAGTGTAGGATGGGCTCCTGTCAGGCTCTCCCGTGATCCATAATGAGCATTGAGATGTGCCAGCATTAAGTGCTCAATTGGATTTGATTTGGGAATAATGGCTGCAGTCAGAGACAGAGGAGGATTTTCTGCTTTCAGGTTCTTGCCATTCCCCCTCTCTATGGCCTCCCAGCCTCCTGGTGTGGAACTCTGACTGCATGGTTATCACCCTCCGATCAAGTTTACTAAAAATTATTCTAATCAGTCCAAAAGTGTTTAATTTTCTTTCCCTAGATTATTTTGAGAAACAGCTGTGTTGCTGCACTGAGACTGAAAGGGGTGTTATGATCTGGGTGGGGGTACCTGTGCGCAGTACAAGGTAGGGGGAATAACTTCTTATCTGTCTCAGTCATAGCCAGAGAAGATAATCCAATACACTTTTTAGGCTTGGACACCATTATCTAGTGCATGAAAGAGACTGTGTCCCCCAAATATTTATTAATATATGCTTTGGAAAAAATTCATGATGAAGATCATGAAAAAGGAAAACACTTTTTATTGACAGGATTGATTTTAAACATGCCATAGGAGGTGCTTTGTATCCCATTCCAGCTCTGGTTTGACACTTAAAATAGGCTCATTTTGAATGATTCCTCAGTGGACTGTGGTTGTTTTGAAGTCAGTGTCTCCTCTGTCCAGTTTGTCAGGACTCTGGGGTGTTTGCTGCCTGCCTGGCCAGTCACGCAGACTGCAGCTTCTTTAGAATGTGTTGTATGGGAACATGGTAAATAACCACGTCAGATTTGTGTCTCAGTTTTGACATAAACGAGAAGGAAAGAGCAATCTGAAGTTAAGGAAGCATTTTTAGCATGCAAACATAATAAATGATGTGTTGTGTGTTAGAGCTCCACACTTGCCATTCTTTCTTGTTGTTATGATGACCGATCCCAGAAAAAACCCCGAAAACTAGAAGAAAGTGCTCTCTCTCTCTCTCTGTCTCTCTCCATTTCTGTGCCACCAATAACCCTCAGAACAGCCCTTCCCTGCTCTCCACAGAGATGGACTTTCTGGGGAGTTGGGCTTTGCATA